CATTATGGTAGAGATGGGCTTGGAAACTAGGTCTCCTGGCTACGTGTTCCTAGCACCTCTTCTATTAAATGACCCTAACTCTGATACAGCCTTTCATAGGTTACTGTTATCATGACTTTTATTTTTCTGTTGAAAGAAATTAAATCACTTGCCTAAGAGCTTGAATGTAGTAATGGCAGCAATAGCTGTGAGAAGACCAAGAGCCTTCCTATGCAAGCCATTCATTCACTACTCTGTACTCAATGCATATATTGACTAGCTCTCTTCCTCTCTTTCTGCCTTCTCTCTTTTCTCAACTATTTAATGAACACCTGAAATATTTCAGATTGAATAATGGGGTTGTAGTATTCTCAATGGAGTTGACATCTTGTATAGTTCATTTTGAAGAAGTGAAAGTAGATCAGTTTTGATGTTGTACACAGGTGCAAGTTCACAGTTTTTCTTAAAAAACAAAACAAAAAATTTCTGCTAGGCATTTTCCTCTATAGCTTCAAAGTAGTATAAGGTTTGGTCTAAGTGAACCACCCTTCTGCTTGAATATCTCAGGGCAATGTACTTACTGTTGTAGTTTCCAGGCTGTTGACAAGAGGCTCATCCTTTAAATTCTCCTGTGGGTGCTCTTGAAATGTGCACCTTATGTATGCCAAGGTTGCCTCGTGTTGAATTTTCTTTGTGAGTGAAAGAATGTTCTTCTTTGCTGCACCAATAGCACTTTACCATATACACTCAGGGAAGGCTTTTTGCCCTCTTAACAGGGCTCAAAAGTCTTGACTGGAGTACTTCAGAAATAGGCCTGTTTTTTACTTTTATGAAAACAAGCAGAGTCTGAGCAATTCCTAGCTTGGAATACCACTGATGACCTGAGTTTCTCTGAGGCAAGCAGATGGATAGTGTCACTGAAGGATGCATGTGTAGGGCTTAGATCCCCAGTCAGTAAGGCCATGGGACATTTTTGTTCTGGTGAATGTGAAGATGATGTCTTGTGAAAAGAGAGGCTGGTGTGCACTAGGAGAAAAGGCTGATGGCATGTGGAGGGTGTGATGCGGGGAACTAGACCTAGGGATGCTTCAGTACTTTGAGTCTTCTCTCCTACAGTCTAACAGGGAGAAAAGCTGGATTTTCTATTTGTGTTCTTGATGGAATATGCTGGTGCTCATATGTGTATTTAGAAAATAATTGCAGTAATAATTTGAAGTGTTGAGTGGAAAAATCTTGAATCTGGAATTTGTGGGGTACTCTATCCTGAGTATGCAGGATTTAATAGCATACTTTTCATTTATTCAAGAAGAATCTCTCTCTCCCTTTCTCTCTCTCCAGCCTCTGTCTCTTTCTCTTTCCAAGCTAGAAAAATGTACAATGAATTTATATTTTAGTTTGGAGGACTGTAAAGCAATGCCTCCCCCCTGTACATCTTACTAACATTGACACCTTTTGTTTTTTTAATCTTCTCTTTTCCTTTACCTTGAGTGTGAAGTTGTGGTTTGGAGTGCAGGTTTTGAGTCCAGATAGACCCCAGGGGCTATGGAACCCTATTAAAACTCTAAGTGATTTGATTTCCTCATCTATTAAGTAGAGTTGCTTAGTAGTTCTATTAGAGTGGCTATGAGGATTAAATGATGGAATAATTAGCATATCACCAGACATATAGTAACCTTTCAAAAAGTGGCATTGATTATTATCATAGCAGATCATCTCTGTCTACTACTTAGAATTGCATTTGACATTAGAGAACCCAAAATTTTGGGGAAAATTATTATATTTCCAATATTAGTGGAAGACTTTCAAACAACACATTACCTCGTGAAGTCTATGTAGCATCTTATATTTTCTTTTAATACCTGACCAAAGAGCCTGGGAATAGCTGAGCAGTGTAATTCCAAGTACTTGTGGTTTGTTTTTCCTCTGATGATCCTATGCATAATTGAACTTTAGAAAGCAAGAAACACAGGCTAGTGAATAAACCCAGCTTTTATATGACAAGGCTTTTAAAGTTCTGTTGCCATTGAACTAGGAAAGCATTTATGAACTATTTGACTGTGTGCCCAGAACGGCATTCAGAGAGTTAACACTGTAGCATGAAGATTAAGGTTTAGCACATTAGTGCCATAAGCTTAGTTTTTATTTTGTTTTCCCTAATTAAGAAGAAATGTGGAGGGCAAATAGAAATAAAATATGGAGCTTTCTTGGAATATTTTTTAGCAATACCATTTGGGTGGTGATGAAGAACTTGGGTTTGAATCTTGGTTCTTTTATCTGCTAACCTTGTGGACTTGGGCAAATCACTCCCTCTTTGAGACTCAGCTTCCCTGTGCATACAGTGGAGTACAAACATTGTCACTATAGGGATACTGAAAGAACTACCTGGGATAATTCACCTGGGGCACTCCATTCGCTGCCTAAGGAATTCAGTGTTTATTATTGTTTTTATCTGCACCTTTCAGGAAAAGGATTTTCTATGGAAGCATCATTTGGCTTACTAAATGATTCCAAGTTAGCAGTGACCGGCCAGGTGCTCCAGTGAGTCTTCGTTTGGCAGCCTCAGGACAGTATGGCTCTGGGGTGCTTGTCAATAAAGACTGTTTAATTCATTTGTTTTTGAAACGGCCTTATCTCCCTGTCTTGGTTTCAGTACTCGGGATTTCACACGGAAAGATCAGAATCGGATCACGACAGCCAGTGGGGCGGAAGTCCCCTGACCGACGCCGCCTCCCCGCAGCTCCTGGACCCCGCGGAGAGGCCAGGCTCCCAGCATGACGCGTCCTGCGCCTACAGGCAGTTCTCGGAGCGCGGCTCGCTCTGCTATGGCTTGGCACTGGACCACTCCCGCCTGGTGGAGGAGAGGCACTTCCACAGCCAGGCCTGCGAGGGCGGCCGCTGCGAGGCCGGCAGGTACTTCCTGGGGGCACCGCAGGCCGGGAGGGAGCCCTGGTGGGGCTCCCGCGCAGCCTTGCCCCTGACCAAGGCCTCCCCCGAGAGCCGAGAAGCCTATGAAAACAGCATGCCCCACATCGCTTCAGTCCACAGGATCCATGGTAAGAGAGGTGGGAGGGATTCCTGAGTCCAGCGGGAGGCTCTGGGGCAGGTTAATGTCACACGTGCTAGGTGTGACACTGGCTTCACTGGTTGCCTCTTGATTTACAAATCAGAAACTCACATTAAAAACCAAGCCCACTCATTGAAGTGTATTAATTTTGGTAATGTTTTCGGCATGTATCTGTAAGAGGTGAGAAAAACATTACCATTTTAAAAATCATAAAGAATAGAAATGAAGTTAAAGTAAATTATTAAATCTATTGAACTTGTTGCATGTATGCATTTACACTTTTTGGTGTTATGTGCTCGCAGGTGGACTTGAATAGTCTGTGGACTCCTTGGGTTAATAACGGTGTTTTTGTCAGTGAAGACACTATTGATAAGTTGGAGAGGCTGGTCTTTGTTTTATGGACTATCATTCATATCATAGCTCTTTAGCCTCTTTGGGCATGAAGTGTCAGTATCTTCCCATCTTCCCTTCCCCCATCATTATGATAACCACAGTACCCATGAGTAAGGGTGGTGGAAAACAGAGAAACCACTGAGATTGTCACTTGGGATTCTTGCACAGCCTTAGAACACATGGCGATCTGGAGTCAAAGCTTTGATCACTGTAATACTTTTCTTTGTTCACTTCACAGTAGACTGAGTAAGGAGAGCCCATTCTGTCTATTTCTGGGCAATTCTTTCAAAACCTTCTCTATTTCATTAAAAGTCAGTGACATTAGGATTGATCTGAAGGCCCCGATAGCACTCTTCTTGTCTTTAGGATGAGAATGATAGTGTTGTCTCCGTCTGTAAAGTCCTCTGTCAGATGCCACCCAGACACTGGTGGCCTTCTATGAATAATTTTAATTTCTTTCTATTCTTGCTTTTTTTTTTTTTCAACTTTTATTTTGAGTAAGCAGCCTGTTCTGAACCAAGGAACATTTCGGTAGTCTGGTAAATGGAAACCCAGGGCAAAGGGCAATTGCTTGCCTAAGAAAGGAGTGAAGTGAAAATCCTGGCTTAACCTGCGTGGTCTGAAGAAAAAACTATTATAAATAAAATAGGAAGAAAAGAGAAAAGGAAAGCAATGAGTAGTGTGATCCAGAGCTTCTCTGCTGCATTAAGCAGTTTACAGCTTTTATGTTTTTCTTCTTACTTTTTATATTGACTTCAGACTGTTTTTGAGAATAATTTGTTTTATGGAATTTGTCTTGGATATAATACTCCCCCATATTAGATCTCACTCCTTGGTTCAGAACAAGTTATTAAAATTGTTAGTATTTACTTACTCTTTACATTGTTTCAGAAGATACCTGTTTTTATAGGATAATCTCTGAAGCTGAGCTGCTTACTTGATATTTATAAAATTACATTTATATTTTTGATCAGGACAAGATATATCTACATCTATATCCATCCACCCATTAATATACACATATAATAATATATATTTTATCCTTTGTCTAAAAATTAACATTGGCGCCTTAGAATAACCCGGCTTAATATACATTGAGCAATATTAACATTTTCAAGGATTTATTTAGAATAAAGAGAATCCACGCACAGGAAATCAATGTGAGTCAATGCCCTGTATAGCTATCCTTATCTCAACCAGCAAAACCCCTTGTTCCTTCCTATTATTGCTTATAC